GGTAGCACCGAGTAGCGTCGCATGGCGCATTGGGTAAGTGTGTTCCCAGCTTAATGTGAAAGGTGAAGATGGAAAATTCAAAGAGCGAAGGAATTAGCTTTGAGATTGGCTGGCTCATGTCTTATCGCTCAGGTATGAACGGGGCCTAATGGGTGTTGGAAGGATATCGATTACTCCACTATCCTAACTGACTGATTGCTATGTAAATAAGAAAGAATTGATTTAAGGGTGAGTGAGAGTATGAATGGATTTGGTAACTGATTACGTTGGGAGGCAGAAATGACCAAGCTGATAGCCCCTGGAGCCCAACCTCGGCGGTGGACGGATGAGACGTAATCTGCCCTAGGACTTCCAACACACCGGGTGGATGATTATAGAATCCTGCCGGTTATTTATTATAAATTAGGAAAGCTGTAATTGCCGGTCGACTGCAAGAAGTGTTTGATGTTAATAACAATGATAAGACTCCGACTGATTTATCATTATGGAATTAGCGGGTTAGGGAATATGAATTTCATAAATAATTATTCCTCTGAGTTTTGCATTTGACGGCAGGGTTTGAATTATCAGACGGCGTAAATAAACGGCAAATGGTTAAGTTACGAGATATCACACAATATCATCACTGCATGGTGCCAAAAAACAAGGGACGTTTCTGCCGCTTCGCGAGGGAGATTTATACGTAACTCATAGTGTTCAGATCTCAAAAGCCCAGGCTGGATTATAAATTATGCCCCACTCCGGCGCCAAAAATATATATCGAATGCTGATTTGTCTTTTATTTATTTTGGTCGAACAACGACACGTCGTGATCCTCGGCCCTGTGGGATTTATGGAGCTTGGACCAATTGTAAATAGATCACCGGTTTACGGCTCTGCATTAAATTTCGATTTGGCTCTCGAAACGGGGAAATGAACATTTTCGACACGAAGACCGGAAGAACATTGTTTTTGAATCATTATCCATAAAAATGGGGATTCGAGATTTCGGCTCTAGTTTATATTCATTCTTATTTTTAAATAATAGCGTAGTACATTTCAACAAGTTATGCAGTCTTCATCAAGCCAAATCCATGCTTATGTTTAGTAGACTTTACCCTCCTCTCTCCAGGTAACCAAGGTGAGCAATTTCACCAGGTCATTTTTTGCTACTTTTTGATAGCGAAATTATAATAAAACTCAATAATTCAGTAAGAAGTTGGTTTTTAAAAACAACTAACAATATTTCATATGGTTAAGATACAAAAACTCAATCCGTTATAAGACAAAACAACCCACGTCACAACCACACGAAAATTACTCAGATTTGCTACCATGTTCTTTGTCATTTTGAACAAAAAGAAACTACATAATACGACATACGTACATGACATACTCGCCAAAGTAGGCATTTACGACGACAACAGCATAAACAACACACAGGCCCAAAATCATTACATAAACAATAAATGTATAGTTTTTAGTGATTGTTAGTTGATGATTATTTAGAGATCGTGAGATGCAGTCTGGTGTGACGTAGGTTTTAGAAAAACATTTTCTTTATCGTGCCAACGTTTCGATCTTTATTGAAATGATGTTCAGGTCCTTGTATTGCCTGCATTTCAACAAAAAAGTGGTCTGATTGATAGCCGATGCAAGTCTGTTTTCATTGTTGGCGAGGTCCTTCAGAATACTTTTTGCTTGGTGTCCATATGTAGTTGAAATTTGTTCATAAAATTCCATGTTCTCCGTTCTTCTGTTAGAATTGTGTGCTGTTTAGTGACCGTTAGTCAATGATTATTTGGAGATCGTGAGATGCAGTCTGGTGTGACGTAGGTTTTAGAAAAACATTTTCTTTATCGTGCCAACGTTTCGATCTTTATTGAGATCATGTTCAGATCCTTGTATTGCCTGCATTTCAACAAAATAGTGCTCTGATTGTTAGCCGATGCAAGTTTTTTTTCATTGTTGACGAGGTCCTTCAGAATACTTTTTGCTTGGTGTCCATATGCAGTTGAAATTTGTTCATAAAATCCCATGTTCTCCGTTCTTCTGTTAGAATTGTGCGGTGTTTAGTGACCGTTAGTCAATGATTATTTGGAAATCGTGAGATGCAATCTGGTGTGACGTAGGTTTCAGAAAAACGTTTTCTTTATCGTGCCAACGTTTCGAACTTTATTGAGATGACCTAAAACCTAATAAATGTTATAAAAATATTATTAATATCGGGAATGAGACATGACTCACTGAAGGGCCTGATTGAAATTCGTAGAAATGAAAAGAAAACCTTTAAAATTAAAAAAAGAGAACGTAGACATAAATTTAAATTCAAAAAGTAGGAAAACATGATATTTTGTTTGCTTTTCTTTGTATAATTTGTCAAAAAATAAAACCTTTTTTCATTTTGCATTTGTTTTACATATATTAATTAGCACGGAGATACTTTTTATATTAAATATGCATAATAATTACATTAATTTTATAATACAATATCTGAAATTAAGCGAATTTGAAAGAACAGAAATAATCTCTGTTCCTTCGTCAAACCTTCGGAGATCTTTCATCAGGATGAAAACTATTATTAATAGTACACGGGGGTAAGGGATATGAATATCTACTTGCGATATTGATTCTTACTAACATAATTATATTTAAAACAAATTTAATGATGTAACCATTTCGAGACATTTTAATGTCTCATCCAATTGTTTCATGCGTACTGACATGTCAGACTCGCTTTGAGCAGTCTTATGATCAATTGTTTGTTGATGAATTCGGGAAGATGAGTGCATGCAACGAATAAGATGGCTGACAGAGAGAACCGGGGGTGATTTAGAAAAAAACTGGGGGTGCAAACGAGGATTACACTCTTTTCGTGGTCAAGAGTAATTGGGGCCATATCGCATTTGAGGAATTCCAATCTGCTAATGGAGATCCCTTTTCCCCTTCTTATCCATCAAAATACTGATGGTCTAAAACAAGGTTCGGGAAACTTTTCCCGGTTCGAATGTTGAGCTGAGGTCATCGCATGACTTAAACCGTCTGAAACATTTTACGAATCGGCGATTTAAGTAGGGATGAGGAATGCTAAAGAATGGTATTTGTTGCATATTACATATATACAACCAATACAAGGACCGCATGTAGGGTTAGACTTCAAAATTTATTATTAAATTACATTTTACATAATTTATATTTGTTCATGTATAGCTGTGAATATCTGTTATATATACACATACACACTCACACCACACAAACAAACTTGTATTGAAGGATAGGCCATACCCGCCTAACACATAGGCATGCCCTCATCAGCAAAAGACCGAGGAGGTCCCCCATGTGCGGCGCAACTGTAACAGTAAGATATATTTTAGAAAAAGCACACAGCACGGTGTGGCCTTCCCAATGACATAACAAAAGTATTTAAGGACAACAGTGATTATAAACGAAAGGTTATTAATTACCTAAAATTAATCAATGCATATGGTTATATATAAAGCCCACCACACGTGGTATATCCCCCCTACTTGTATGAATGTATTTATTTGCGTGAGTGTCGAAGTATGTATGGGCGTGGCTGTGACGGAATATCGAGTACTAACGTGCCCACCAAATTAGTGTAGGTACGTATATATAATTTTAGTCATTGGCTTTTCGATCGGCTCGAAGTGTAATGGCCTTTCAGAATATGTATTTATTAGCGTGAGTGGTGATGCGTGAAAGGACGTGTCGAGGAATATCGAGTACTCCACAGGCCCGTCAAACAATTTGGGATAGTTTAGTGTATGAGTGGAATTTGTAAGTATCGTTTGAATGTATTTATTAGTGTGAAAGAGAGGAGGCCGCAAGATCACGATAATCTTCCGTCCTCCAATTTAGGTGTACTGTAGCAATTAGCATGAATGTGAATTATGAAAATTATAGTTATGTATTTTAATTTATCACGTGTGGGAGGATAAGAACAAACAAGATAAGGAATCTCCTATTAAGTGAATTAGGTGAATCGGAAGGTAACAGTCGTTTAATTGCGGAGTAAGAAGACTTAGAAAAGAATGTACACGTAAGATAGCTAAGAAGACAAATGTAAGAAAGCTATTTACGTGACCAATCATGAGGCGCCGGCGATGACCCTGGTAGTTAACCGGCAAAAAAATAAATAAATTTGACGAATTGAGTATATTCGCATCTGGTAGACCTCAGGCTATTCCAGCTATTACTATTTACAGAAAATTACCGACAGACAACGGAAATCATCCATCCGCGGGTGTTGGCAGTTCGGGGATAGACCTCAGTCTTTTCCGTCCAACGGCCGAGGGGGAGTTATCAACCGTTTCAAATCCATTTGTATTCACGTTCATTCTTAAATCTATTAACATACCATTCATTCAATTACGGTGGTGGAGTAGTCGGTATTCCTTCATTCTCCTTTGCACATGTTATAGAACTAACATAATTGAGGGTCAACGGTTACTCTATATTTCGTTATCGGACCCTCTCATCACATTCACGCTAATAAATACATTCACGCTTATAAATACATTCAATCTCAACACCAGACACCTATATACAACTATTATTACTATATACATTAGAACAACCCTGTTTCATCCCAACAATCGGAACAGGGGACCGAAATATTCGCTGCCGTGGCTTCCATACTTCTAAGAGTCACATCCTCGGAGGGGATATGCGAGTCCTTCTCTGTCGACCTGGCCCATTGAAACTGTTACCTTAATGTTTAATCAAGTTTTTATTACATTCTTACAGTTTTTATTACATACAGGCCCTCTGGCCGGATAGCGGTGGTTATTTCCAGGTTGGGACGTGTCCAGGTGCACACATCCACTCACCCACCCACACACAAGTAACATGGATATACCCAAATAAATGCCATCCTCCGTTTTACAGGTGGAAAAGTATATCTTATCAAATGATAATTTTTGAGATGGGAAGACAGAATAATTGACATGAAAGAAAACAAATTAAAAAAATATTTCATTTATTTAAAAAATTATCACAGAATTGATATAGTATAAAAAAGGAATTATAAATGAACGTAAGTACAATTAAAGGCCGAGTCAAATTTGAAAAACTTATCGATATCTAATTGTGATGTTTTTCTGTTTCGTCTTTGTGTACGTAGACTGGAACTGGTACTTTGACGAATTCCGGAACTTGAACTTCGTAGGGGACTTTCTTTTCTACAGTCACTGGATACGGCTTTTCGATAGTGACAGGAAAAGGTTTAGGTACGAAGACTTTGTACGGCTTTTCCACTGGCACTTTCACTTCATAAGGAACCGGCTTTTCCACGATGTAGGGCACTTTTTTCTCGACGGTGACCGGAACTGGGTACGGTTTCGGGACATCATAAGGAACTTTAACAGGAACCGGGACGTGTTTGACGATTGGGACGGGGACTTTTTTCTCAACAATCACTGGGACGGGCTTTTCGACGTGGTAGGGCCTGGGTACGTCGTAAGGCACTTTGACCGGTACAGGGACTTTCTTTTCGACAGGATAGGGATGGGGAACTGGGACTTTAACAGGAACGAAGACTTTCTTCTCGACCGTGACAGGATACGGCTTCTCCACATGGACGGGTACTGGCCTGTCGACGTGAACGTGAACTGGATAAGGCACCTTTTTCTCAACAGTTACCGGATAAGGTACTTTGACTTCCTTCGTCACTGTGATGGTCTTGACGTGGTCCTCATGATCGCCGCCGAAACCGCCAAATCCGTGGCCAAACTCGCTTATCCCTCGTTTGTCCTTTTTCTCTTCTTTCTTGTCCTCTTTCACTTCGCACTGGGCCAAAGCGATTGCCAACGCAAAAACGAATAAGAACTTCATCTTATCAACCGACAGTGAGAACTGATACGGTTCATGGTTGGACATAGCTTTTTATATCCATGCTCGTTTTCATTACGCAACCATCCTGTTGTTGCTGCTTCCATAACTGGGTTACTTAATGCAACTACATCCTGTAAAAACAATATGTACTTCTTACACTCGTCTTATTAGTCATTTCCTAACGTCAACATTGCAAATTTTTTATCACTAAAGCCATCTTATCTCTAAATTTTTAGTTGGTTCAAATAAGTAGAGCTGATCGGAATGGATTAATTATTATTTAACAATAACCTTAACAATAAGGATAATAATTTCTTAAATTAGAGGTTGTTAAAGATAAGTAAAAAAACTGTTAATATTTCTAAAATCTTCTAAATAAAAAAAAATTCTTTTATAATAATTATATTCTATTTTTAATTGTCATTGTAAAATGAAGAGAAATAATTTAACTCTCGCTATTAATAAATAATATATACAAACCGCTATGTATAGTGTTTATTTAGTTTTATATATTATACAATGAAAGTACAACATATTGTTTACTGAATATGGTAATTAATTTTATTTTAAAGAAAATAAAAACCATCTAGGTATGAAGAGTAATTTTTTTTACATTTAATCGTTATAATAATTAATTTATTAACTATTTTTGTTATACAGTATGCTATATAATTGTGTTCACCTGTACAAAATAACTCATAATTTTGTCGCATTAATGATGATTTGTAAATGTGCGTTCTTGCCTTCTAATTAAGTTATAAGTGTCATAGCGACTGGTCTTAATTAGGGCATCATCTTTTATTGAAAGAGAATATTTAGAATAAGAATTTTGTGAGAGAATGATTTGGTGAAAATCTCGTATCTAAATACTATACTTATCTAAATAATCAAGGCAAGGCAAATTATTTATTCGGCAGTAAAAAACTCAAAAGTGTTTAAAAGTTTATAAAACTCGAGTTTGAATAGTAAATATTCAATTGTTTGTAAACCCGCAATGCTGCATTGGAAGTACATCAAAATGGCCAATATGATTTAACTTAGGTGTGGATAATAATACTACATATGATTATTTGAACATCGTGAGATGCGGTCTGGTGTGACGTAGTTTTAGAAAACAGTTATGAGTACCCCCACACACTCTCAACACGACCCACAAGAATGACACATCGATGCAGAAAACGAACACTTTCAGCCCTGAAGATGTGATCGAATCGTTGGCACGATAAAGAAAATGTTTTTCTAAAACCTACGTCACACCAGACCGCATCTCACGATTTCTGAATAATCATTAACTAACGGTCACTAAACACCACACAATACTACATATGGTTAAGTTATTAGAGTCAAAAACTAGCACATCACTGAAAAGGACAAAACATACAAAATTCAAATATCATTTAAAGAACAAAATCCTTTTACGAAAGTTTGTCCCTTCGATAAAAAAAAATTGCATAAAAATAATAGGTTCAATTTAGTTGTGTGAGAAAAAGTCATAATAAAATAAGCAATTTGAATTTATACTACTTAAGCATTACTTCTAATGTATTCGGCTGGTGCAAAAATTATGCTGAAAATATGATCAGCAGTGTTCGTCTATATCTACCGTTTCTCTGTCGGCTGGAAACTTTTTTTATGGATGCTTTCATCCCAAATATATGTTCGACTTTATAAATATCAATATATGAGTCAGTCAATTAATTATATTTTTTACGTTCCACTGACTTTTTTATCTCAACGTTACATAAAGATTATTTAATTGAAATTAAGCGTTTTCTTGACTGAAGTTTTTTTCACAACTCATTTTTTTTATACATACGATTACTTGGAAAGTTTTTTTTATATACAACTATCTTATTTATTAAATCCATTATATTTGGTGGTCTGATTGACCAAATTTCTTCTTTCAATTAATTAATCTTCTTATGTAAGGTTTTGGTTGAGATAAAAAAGTCAGTGTCACGAGCGGGATTTGAACCCACGACCTTCGGCTAAATACGCCACGATCACGATAACTAAAGTGGTTAGATCACTGGAGTATTAAATCGAAGGTCGTGGGTTCAAATCCGCTCGTGACACTGACTTTTTATCTCAACCAAGACCATTCATAAAAAAAATAATTAATTGAAAGTAATAACTTGGTCAATTGACCACTAAAACATAAATATGAGTCATTTTTATTCATTATGAGAAAAAGCGTTAATTGCGTTCAAATTTTACTTCTCTGTGCTATTCTGGCTTTAAGGTTAGTTAAACCGATGTGAATCAGATTTCAATGGACCATAAGAAAAAAAAGCATTAATTGCGTTCAAAATTAACTCCACTATCCTACTTTCAGCAGCCGATTAACGTTTGTTCTGAGTTGTGAGTTTTTGCCTAATCATAACAATCATTACGAACAATCACTGGTGCATGTGCAATAGCTGCCGATTCGCAGAGTTTGGCCTTTTGTGGATAGATATAAAACACAATTTCATTTAAACTTAATACATTAATTCTTGAAAAATCTTTTAGAAACAAATTTGATGAGCAAACGATCAAAACTGACTAGAAAATACTTGTGTGGTTGACTTTTTGAGACCCATTTGGATACGGCATCAAATTTTGGGTGACTTTCTACCCTTCATCGTCAATACTATGTAGTCAATTTTACCATTCATAATGATCTTCATATCCCTTGAAGTAGCGAAAAACCGCTACAAGAAGTTGCACAAACAATTACCCACACAGACCTTTTGTCAGGACCTTTTCATCTAGCAGTCTTCCAAATAATCTTCTCGGCGGCTAAAGCATCAGTGTCCTCGCGACCTCCTAAGGCACCTAAAAGTAAATGTGATTAACGCAAATATATAGATGTAGATGGACTATTTGTGGGGTAATATACTGCACTCTTCAAGAGCTACTGTATCCCCCCATCTCTGCCTAAAGCACATCGGTGAGTCCTATTTCATCAAGAAACTTGATTAGTAAGCCACCCGGTTTCAGTGGTTGAAGCTCTTCTATGGTCAGATTGTACATCCCAAAACACTTCCTCCTGCGGCAAGTGTAGCACCGCAGTTTGTTAGTAGATGTGTTGGTGTCTCCTCTGCCACTTGGCAGAATGTGCCGTCTTGGATTATTCCAATCTTCTTTTTGTATCTATTTAGCTTGCAGTGTCCTGCTAAGAATCCTATTAGGCGTCGCAGTTTCTTCCTGCTTCCTTTGACACATGGTGTAATTTCTTTTCATCCGGAATTTGTTGAGGTATTCTTGGATTGCCTGTGTCCAATGAGTGAATTACATTGTTTCTTCATTTTCTTTTTGTGCGTCTGTCTTAGGTACTCATTAATAGTGTGGGTTCCTATGCCATAGAAGGGTTCGGGCCCTATCAGCGGTGTAGCAGCTTTCCTTGCAGTGCTGTTCGCTTTCTCGTTGTCTTCTACTCTCACGTGTCCTGGGACCCAGCAGAAGCTGACTTTGTTCTGCGTGCCTAATATGTTTAATTTGGTTTTGCAGTATACCGCCATCCTTGAACTACTTATTACGATATTACGATATTTGAGCTTAGTGCTTTGATGGATGCTTGACTTTATGGCTATGTTCTTGTTTTTGTACCCTTGATGTTGAGTTGTATACATCTCTCGATTGCTTGAATTTCAGGTTGGAAGATACTGGTGTATTTTCCCATGGGTCCTGGGTGTTTGGTTCCAGAGCCGAATACTCCTGCCCCTGCACTCTCTTGTGTTCTGAAACCATCTGTGTACCAAAGGATGGTGTCATTTTTTTTTTGTGTTACGTAGATTTATTTGGAAATTTTGATTGAATTCAAACATCCTGTTCATGTCGTCTTTTAGAGCCATGATTATCCGATAGTCTTTCATTATTTTGTTGCTATCTCTACATTTTAGTTTCATTCCTGTTGGAGGTTTCTCTTTGATAAAACTAATGATGGTTTTCTGTTGTGCTCGATACCATGTGGCGTAGGAACTCAAATATATAGGAATGTGTTCATTTTGTTTTGTTCTACGCTCTAAGCTGTTATTAGGTGAAACAACTGGCAAAAAAATCTTACTATTCTCAATTATATTCCATGACATCATAGACAAGGGGAGTCCGATGCCACTGCGACTACTCGGGCATGGGGCGTCGGTTAGGTTTTCATTTTTTTTAAAGGCTTATTTTGCTCGTTTTCTAGTTATATTTTAAGTACAGGAAATTGTTAATAATATTTGAATTATTACAGTAAAGTTAATAATGTTCAAAAAACTTTACCAAGCAAAAACCTGCTGAAAACAGTATTGTGCTAATTCTCTTAAGGGTGAATGACATTTTGATCTTTCAGTTTCCACTGACTTGTTCCTGAGAGGCTTAAAACTTTTTCAATCTAAAACTCAGTTGAAACCGACTTGTCTCAAGAAACGGTTACGATTAAAAACTTACGTACCGAAAACCTGGCTTCACATGTACGTTATCACGGAAAACAAAGCAAACAACGTAAAAAAGAAAGAAGGAAGAAACCGATTCTTATCGGGTGGTAACGATTTCCAACTCAATCTAAACTGAGTTTGAAGCGGTTTTCAACTATTTCTGTTGAGTTGTTACCGCTCCCACTCCGTAACAGCTGTGATGGATCGCTCCGCAAGTTTGAAAAGCTCCCCCAATGGAATTAAAATATTAATTGCAAATATATTTTATCCGAATTAGAATAAACATAGATATGCTACACGGACATTTTAATCCGCGTGAAACTCGTCACAATTCTCTCTTCATCCCATTTTTATAGCCGACCTTAGATTCTGTATCTGAACGAAATCTATTTATTTAAGAAGGCTACCGATAATGGTGTCATATCAGCTTCCCACACACACTGGAGGCCGATAGGGTACTCCATATAACATAGTTATTATAACATTTACAAAATTAACGCATACACCTTAGTGTTTAAAAATCGGAACGTGGACCCAACAACCACGGACTGTCTTCATGTCGGTTCCCTCCGTGGCACTCCTGAGACAGTCTTTCCCGTATACT